TTCACTTTGTTTCTCTCGCTCAAGCAATTCCCATTCATACCCATTTTGAAAATTGTGTTTACATGGTGTATGCACATTGCAAGCTCCTCAATACGTGTCGGGTGCATCGGAAAACAATTTCACAAAAAATTTCACTATGCTTCCACTTTCTTTCAGTGTTTTACCGCCAGATGCTCGGCGGTAGTGCTGTTCGCTTCCAAGGAGANAAGTTCGTGTACCGTTCCGCAATCAACTTGATGTCCTTCCTTTCCCTTCATTTGGAATTTACAGACACCTATAGAGTCGCGTTCATTCAGTTTTACGCGGACTGGTGTGGTTTCAGTCGTCAGCTGGCTCCAATATTCGAGTCCGCGTCCGAGGCGTTTTTGAATCACACACAGGTTTGTTCATTTTGTGGCCACAATTCTCATCCCGTAAATTTCTTCTATGTAGCGCGGAGAAGTTAGCTTTGTCCGTGTGGATTGCGAATCCTCTTGTAAGTTCACATTTGTCTTCTTACGCTAGTGTAATCATTCGATCAAACAGACCGTTCCTGGATGTTTTAAATGTGCAGAATCGAATCCAAACGTGAAATACGCTTATTTCTATCAAATTATTACCCAGCTAAAATGGCGAAGTTTACCATGTCAAAGCCTGTAAATAGCATTGTAGGTGTTAAGAAGACTACAGGTTTCAGTTTATGCTTCTACAACCATTAACCATGCACTTTTGTGCACCGGTTTTGGTTGTGATTTTTTCGGCTGCCCTTTCAGATGAAAGGGTAGAGGAATGACTAGGAAGTTGAAAGTAGAGCGGAAGACGAGATGGAGAATTTCAGTAGACTGCGGTTTCAAAGAAACTGAGACTATGCACGAGCGCCACTGTTTACGACTCAGCCATGTCATTCAGTGTCACTAACTATCGATAATAATAATCCCGAGGTCCTCATCTAGGGCGCCTAACGGAACCTGCGTAACCGAATCTCCTGGTTGGGGTTTTCATACCCTCATGCCAGGTCTTATTTTGACCACCCTTGACTTTTTTCCACCCACTATCTGCCTCTCTAAACGTCGCGCGCCATGGCAACCTATTTGGTGACGTGCACAGCACGTCCTAACTAGCGTAATCTATGGAGGTCCTCCACTCACTCCGATATGCGACCGCGGTTACCTAAAACTGCACCTAACCTCAGCAGTGCTCGTCCGGTTATCCCACCGGATTCGCGCACTGCTATGTAGACTACAGATCATAGCGTTAGTTTCACACCCTCCAGTTCCTACTCAGAAGAGGTGAACTTAGTGTTTTTATTGAGTGCTTATTCCTTCCTTGCTCACTTTCGTGCTACCAACTGCTTCTTGGGATATGTCGGATCGGACGTTCCTGATGATGGAAGCCCACGCGCGGCAAGATTGGTGTAGTGTGAGACGCAGTTCTGGTTCCAGTTACGAATTTCATATGCGGATTGGTATCAGTAGTTCCACATCTACATTCGTCATATTGCTCCATTCCTTCGTTTGGTCACCGAGTCAGCAATCCCGTCCCCGTTAGGGTGCATATGCTACAGAGTTCATTTTTGGGTCTTCGAAACACGAGGCTAAACCACTAAAGGCGCCGACGCTGTAGCATCTGGGAAGGCTTGTCGATACTATACCTTTTCAACTTCAAATGAATCCGTTGTAACTTCAAGTGAATCGAACCAATCGCACTCCTGGAAACTCCAAGATGATTGGTGTTTGGGCCGTCAAACGTCACCGATTGATCTGTCTAAACCCCGTCCGGTTCGAGTGAACTAAATACTTCGCAAACAAACAGAAGTACTTTTTAAGTGAGTTACCGAGCGAGGATGAAAGTTTCGGTTGGCTGAGATGGGCTGTTCCTGCCCACGTCCCACCCGGGAACGTTATGTTCATGATCTCGAGTGATTGATTAGAACTAATCATCCTTCAGACTTCACCTTCTCACGCATTCCTCAGCTCGTCCAGTCAGCCATACACTCGGAAGCACTAGACTCGAGTTTCGCTCTTATTAGAGCTCAGCAGTTGTCTACTTTGTAGTTGTGCAGTGAATGCATTGTCATGCACTAGTTTCCTGTATCTAGAAGTGTCCTAGTATCCGAGCCAGCCATGCGGATGCTGGATCTGGGGTACAGTTGGTTTAGGTTCCCAGCCTGCTCATTCGTCATCCCATTCACTGGGAGAGCGCAGAGTCCATCGCCTCCCGGGAACGCCGTATCACGAACGCGATATAACGTCCTGAAACAATCCACGGGGAAATTTCAAAACGAGGTACTTAGTGACGTTCCCAGTGTCGCTCGGCCTTCAATCCATTGTGCACTTCTAACCATTGTAGAACCAAGTGGGATTTGCAAGGTGACGGGGTAGAACAGTTGAACGCCAGTGACCGTCAAAACGGTTGATACACCTTTCGGATGGCTCAGCGCCAATCCAGGACCATCAACGTGTTCATGAAGTACTCTTGAACTCAAGGACATCTTTCGTGTTTCTTCGTGATTGAATTTGGTGCTAGCCCCGTTCATCTTTACTTCAATTAATAATACCTTTACCACTTTTGTCACCCGCACTTTTTCCGTCGATTCCAGCGGATCTCTGTTCAGAGGAAGGGATTCGCAAATACCCAACGCTGAGAGTGCTAAAATACGGCGTCCGTGTCAAACGGGAATATCGTGGTCCAAGAACTAAGGAGGCACTGATCAGCTTTGTTCAGGAGCATCTTACTGACAATCTAACCATTGTGGACGGGAAGAATGGTTCAGCTCGTCAGGTCAGTTTGAAATCACAGTCCCATCAAAATTTTCATCTTTAATTTTATTCACTAAGGACAGATTTTACACACTCAAGTCCGCTCAAATTTTGCCTTTTGGGTATATCCGTATTCCCCTTACTCAGTCACCCACCAAACAGCATTTTTTCTATTCCCACTAATCGTATATTGTATAATTGCCCAGACACATGAAGCTGTTGCATCCTCCCACTTCTGTACTGAATGCGAAGTTCAATGAACGGCCTCAGAATATATAATTCAAGGAAACTGAGAATAAAAATTAAAAAAGAACAGAAAAATAATTTAGATTTCGAACTTTATGGTATAATAATCTGTGTTTAGAGGCAGGAGTATGCTATATGTCGTAAAGCTGTTTCAAGCTTTTTCATTGTCATCGACAGTGCAAATCCAACGGCCCCACTGAGGATCAAACCCGCTACCACAAAGGTAGAATGCGAACATACTATCCACTTGACCATCGGGCGCAGAATCAGATTGTTTCACTTTGTTGGAAATAATGTGTCATGTTTGTAGCCCGGAAGTGGAAACCGATGTCTACCGAAAGCCTACACACAGGAATCAGATCCTCGGCTTTCAGATCAACTACCCCGTGGTACACAAGAGAAGCTGCGAATAAACACATTTCAAACGAGCAAAAGTGCACTGCAGCACTCCAGCTTCAAAAGGCAGAGGAAGCCCACCTTATTGAGGTGTTTTGGCTTGACGGATTCCCACGAAATTAGCCACACTAATTACATACGATGCTCAGAGAGCGGATGACAATCGAAGCCCCGGGAGTGGCCTCAAAAGCATAGGCAGCCGACCAGCGATTAAACGAACATATATATGCCATATATAAGAGGAGTCTCTTAAATGGCTGCCACATAATAACTCCCATCAGGAATTTTGGTTGCGTACAAGACAACGGTGACAGTGAAGACTATCCTGTCAAGGTCACTAGATCAACTGCCGAAGGAAAATTCCTCAAATGTACACGAATTAAAGTGTCTAGACCACCATAAATACTGTTGGACAAACCAGTAGAAAGCTGAAAGTACAATTACTTGATTACATGCTGGCGATCGAAAGAAATCGCTAATTTCAATCGACATGGATGCTGAGAATCACATCTTCGAACTGGACAACGAAAGAATAATCAGAAGAGAAACCACAAAGTCAGTACGGGAATCCTTCTAACCATGGCACAACTGGTGCCGTCGCCAAAATGAAGGTTCCGTGGCTTGAAGCCTTCGAGGATGAAGCCGCGCGGACGTTCCTGGAAGAGTTCGAAAACGTTGCGGAGCTGGCGGGAATACGGTCAGACTGGGGTAAGCTGACGGCCTTCCGAGCGCTTCTCA